TTCATGCTAAGCCTTTGTCTCTAGCTGTTTTTCAAGAGGAAAAATGAAGTACTGTTGTGGAGGAAAATCGTTACAGTCCAATTGCCCCAGGATTCTGTCAGCAAATCTCCATAGCTACCAATATTTTGAATGCTAGACTGGCTGCTTGTTGGCTATCAGTCACTGGTAAAATCAGAATTGTGTAATCTACATCCATACTTAGAGATGTGTTGGAATCAGAATATGAAATATTTGCTTCTCAGATCCAAGACACATATTCTGCAGAGCACCATAAAGAGTTTTTCAATTTGCTCAACTCAGTTCAATTTTGCTAAGCTTTAAATAATCTCTATTCAGCAAGCATAAGATTCTTATTTTAAGTAAATAAATTAATGTAATTTCATTAAGCTGTGTAGTTTTTCAGCCACAGTCCTCTCTATATCCAGAAGATATTTCACAGTAAATCATTTATTAGCATCATCAATGACTTACAAGGTCAGTCAGGCTACCATTTATTACTATATAAAGTAGTATCAATAACCTTCAGCAGATAACTCTCCATTCTACATGGATTAACAGTTGAATTCTGCATACTTAGTTCTTTCCCCATTTGTTCATTTTATATTTTATTATGCTTTTAACTTTTAATTTCATAGTAGTTTAATAATTGTTACTCCTTTCTTAATTATTTCTCAGTCACACTATTTCCTTGACTCAGAATCCTGAAGTAATTCTCCCTTATTAAAAATTTTTGTATAGCTTCAGAAATAGCTACTCAGCCTTCCTGGGAATCATAACATGTTTATGACATTGTAGGGGTACAAAGCCTTTCCCAAAAGACACCCTAAGGGCTGCTAAAAGGAGACAAATACTTTTAAGTCCTACGAACTCTTACCTCTGGGACAGTTTGAGAGAGATGAAACTATAAAACAGGGCTCTTTATGGACTGAATTTACAACTTATGCTTGATTTCTCTTGCAAATCCCACTCTACTGACAATACCTTTTAATGACACATGCGTACTGATGCCTGCATAGCCCATTTTTTCAGCAGCACATGCCACAATCAGAGGAGGCTGTGTAGGGTGAAGATGACCTGAAGTAGAAAAATGCTCTTCTTGGGTTACTCACAGTTGGCCATGGAAGAAGCAACAACAAAAAAAGTACATGATCTAAATACTGACTCCAAAGAAAAGCAATTTATGCTTTCTGGGGAAAAGAAAAATACGGACTAACTACAATTTTATTTTTTCACTACACTAATGGTTTTGGCACAGACATTGCATGGTAATCTTGCCAGACCAGCAGCTCTAACATTGTTGCTACCAAAGAATATGGGTAAGAGACAAAAAAGCACCATTGCATGCGTATGCACCAGTACATTCACTTCACGTGAGTAGGTACAACTCTCATCACTTTTGGAGCCTTTCATGCACTTAAATTCCTGGTTAGACTAGACTTACAAACACAATAAATGTAACCTCAATTCAGGAAAATGTATTTATTTTGGGAAGCTCTGTGTAATTTTTCTTTCTTTTGCTTTACAAAAATTAATTTTATGGATTTTGTGCACAGTTCTATTTAGCTTTAGTCTGAAACTACCATCAGGTCCTTTTTATTCAGCCTCAGCAAAGCCACAATACTACAAGGGATTCCTGTCCTCCTGCTAGGCACTCTCTGTGGCATTCACAGTGCATATCAAAATGAACTAGATCTTACCTTTCATGTACTGCAAATGAAGTATTAGAGCAATGCTCTTAGTTGCTTGTCTATCTCATTCCCCAGCTGAGATGACTTTATGGGTAAGTCTCTTCTTATCCATTCAAGTATCCAGTCAAATAGATTAAACCACAGCTAACCTGGCTTTGAAAATGAAATGGAATAAAGGAAGAGAAAGGAGGCTCAGAGCTGGATGCTGCTTCAGGTGGGAAAAAACAGCACTGCCTCTCCTGGCTGGAGCTCACATCTGCCAGTGCAGGTGTTTTTCCACTCAGCTTCAATAGCCAACTATATGCAGATGGTTCTGATTTCAGTCAGGAAGGGCAAAAGCTAACATCAACTCTTTCACACTTAGACCAGCAACTGCTGCAACTGCAGTGCTGAGACTGATTTCTATCTGCAGCCTTTCTCCAATACTCAGTATTGGAGCAACAGAGAAGATTGTCTAGCTGAATAGCCACCAGTATTCCTGAGGAGCTGCTATTTATTAATTTTTCAGTGCTTTACTGAAAGGGAGGAACACAGTAGTCTTGACTAGGAAGCACTGGAAGTATTCCTGGCAAGTCTGTAAATTCTCTGGGTCTAAGAAAAAGGCAGGGCTCTAAGTCACACATGTTGTGGAGCTAAGCAAAGATATTTTTCTACTTTGAGGAACATTCAACTTTTTTTTTTCTTTTTTTCAATTTTTTGCTTGGTCTTGGTATTATAGGTTTTGAGAGGTTTTTTTCCTTGGCCAATGATATTTACAAAAATATTAAACGAGCAAAAAATGTTTTTGTATAATTACTCTGATACATCATTCAGTCCTAGTTCTGGCCTCTTCATTATCCATGTGTTTTTCTCTCCTTCCTTGTGGTTATAATATATTCCATTTGCACTTCTTTCATTTAGGATCTCTTTAATTTTTTTAGGATTTTGTTGTTTACAAATACTCTTCTCCTCCTCCTTAGTTCAATTAGATCTGTCAAATTTGCAACCACATAAAATAACCCATATCAGAGCTACTATATTATTTACTGTTCACTGTTTAGGACCAAAGAATTTTTGTGCTGAGTGGGTTGTAACAGTTCAAGTCCACCGTAGTCCTCAGGAAAGAAATTCAGATCTCTTATCCCACATTTCTCTGGATGGAAAAAAAGACAACATAAAAATAGGTGATATTTATTGACACTTCATATATGCATATGCATATATTATGCAGTGTGGTGCTCCTTAGTTTTATTTCCTAATTTGTTTTGAAAGGAGAATATAGGACCCTATAAGAAGAAAATGTTGCATGCTGAACAATTCTTACTGATACAATGCCAAATAAAATGGCTTTGCTTAGACCTAGATTGGGCTGATGCATTTCTGTCACTCCTTACCACCACGATTTACTGTGATGTATGAGACAGAGACTGCTGCTGTCCAAGGCTGCTGAATTAACAGAATGAATGTCAGAAAAAAAAAAAGAAATCTTCAGGATAAGAAGCAATTTGAAGTAAGAATATGATTCCAACAAAGGCCAGTCAGTGCAGAACTTCTGGTCACGTGGGGTGTACTGAACTGCTAAGTGAAAGACTAAATTGCATAGGTATCCTTTTCAAGACCATGGAAGAAAAACATAGGGGAATATCCTGGCCTTTATTGAAGTAAGCACCAAAATTCCCATTCACTTTTTTAAGCCAGGATTTCATTCAGTCACTGAGGTGGAAATCAGTCTTGAAGCTGAGGTAGCAGATGGTTGAGCCAGGATCTGGGACACAGATTTCAGGAATGTTGATAGGATTCAGAAAACACTGTCAATTAGGAATGGAACTAATAATTAAGCTTGCAGATATAAAACTCCAGAGATACAGAATATAACTTTAAAATTAAACATCATAACAAATGGCTTTCTAAATTTTTTCTAGTGCCTCAACAGAATAAAATTGTCATAAAATTACATTCATTATGGCATCATAGAAAAACTAGTGGCTTGTTAAAAGAACTGTTATGAAAACAATGAAGTCCAGAAGCACTTAATATCCCTAGAATAAAAATATTTGTTTGACTTTATCTGAAGTTCATTTCTGTATGCCTAACACTATTGTCACAGCATAAAACACATATTAGTATAGGATAAGCTTATAAGTCCATTACATAATTTTTTTAATCTGATGAATACCAAATCTCTGTTAATGTGGAAAAATTTTGTATAAAACAGCATTTTGGCAAATAGAAATTGATCAGGAGAATGTCTATCAAAAAAGAGTGGAAAACATAACCAAAGAGCTTCATACCACTTCAGAAACATATATTGATATACCCTTCCTTGTTAAATTTAGAATTAGGAAATGTTTTCATTCAAAATAAGGAAGAAAAGCGAGTTATGTGTATTTGTTGCTGTGAGAAACTGTCTTCTGCATACTTCACTTACAGTAACAGCATTGCCTTCAGCACCATTATGTGACTGATATGGCCATCAGGCAGTTAGAAAATCTTATGAGGCTGGATCAAGATCTGTGAAATAATCTACAGCTTGTAGGGTACGAAAAAAAACTCAACCCCACAACAATCTGGATAATATAAAAGTATGGGTTTATGAAATTTTTATGAGCTACCAATAGATTTTTTTTTTTGTTCTGGTTTGAGCAAGTCAGTAGAAGTTGCTTTATTTTCAGTATCTGGATAAAACTAGGTAATTTAATTACCTTCCTAAAGTTTCCTAATCTCTGGTCTTTCTAGTCTTCAATCAGTATTTGATCATTTGATCATTTCTGTTATGAGCTGGAACAGTTTGAATGGGGAAACTGGGAGAGATTTAGCAGATTCTCCTATTGATAACCTAATACTCATACTGACATCACTATATTTTCCACAAATTTTAGTATAATAAAGATAAAATTTACCTTAATATTGAGCAAAATTTAAAGGAGATATTATACAATGGGGAAGAAAGCATTTTCCTTTTGCACAGAAGTATTTCCAAATCATAAGTTGCAAAATCAAATTTCCAAATCAAGTTGCAAAAAAGTGTGACCTCACAGAGGAAATTTCCTATTGTTATAATGAATTGTGGGGGTTTTAATAAGAAAATAAGAATTTAAGACCTTATTTAAGATTCTTAATTTTTCAAGTATTCTGCCCCTATTCTTTCGAGTAGATACTCCTGTTATAATGGGGATTGTCTTTATTACAAGTCATTGTAGAGAATTCAAAACATATACCTTTTCTAGTAAACGAATATATTTGACTTAGCATACAATCTTTAGGAGTGTGCACTAGATGTTGACAGCAAAAACGTTCTATTTCTCTTGAATATTTCTTCTTTGTTGTAAAAAGGAAAGTTTACGTGTATTGAAGTCCGATTTCACCTTGAGAGGCAGATGGGTTACTATCTCATCCAGATGTACATACCGAGCCTCCTGATTGTCATTCTCTCCTGGGTGTCATTTTGGATCAATATGGATGCAGCTCCAGCCAGAGTGGCTTTAGGCATAACAACTGTACTGACCATGACAACACAAAGCTCAGGTTCACGGGCATCTCTTCCAAAGGTAGGCTAAATTTCCTTTGTTTGTACTATATTAATCATAATGTTATGTGACAAAGACTTTGAATCAACCTTAAGGTTTTACTTATTAGCATCCAGTCATTTTCCAAACCAGATAAATAATTTTGAAATATTTAGGATTTTTTTGATTCTCCAAATATTTCTCCCATCTCAGCTATATAGGCAGCCACATATCTAGTTAATTCCATAAACTTTAACAAATAGTGAAAGTACTTGTTTTACTTGTTGTAAAGTTTTACTTGTTTCACTACTTGTTGAAGTAGTATTACATAAACCCTGCTTAATAATTGATTGGCTCATGCTTTTTCACATCCCAGTATCTGATGACAGGAAATTCTAAAGGCCATAGATTCTTACCATAGATTCTCAAATATATTCCTTTCTCGAAACTGCCAAATTATGAATTAGCTCACTGGTTACAAACAGATTTACATTAAAATGTAGAAAAATGTGAACCTTAACAGCTCCAAACAATTACATAAAAATTAATCTAAACACAATGAAAATCACTTAAAGTTTATTTCTATGATTAACTATTTCCGTTTTCTGAGTTGTAATTGCGTTAAATATTTTCCGTTTCATTTTAAGGCTTATTCCTTGACCATCTTCATGTTCCATTGCAGTTAATAGAAATACGATATATACAATAAAAATATACAAAGTTCAATTCTGTATTAGTTTTAACATGACATTTTTAGATTGTCTAATTAACTATTTTTTAGGTAAAACAGATAGCCCTAACAGATTTGAGCATTCTTTGTGTGCTAAATATATAGAATTGAATGCATCCGAAGTTAGCATCAATAGATAAAATGGAATGCTCTAAAAACTAACTTGAAACTATACAGTTGATTTACTGTTGCTATATTAGCAAAGAATGAACACATCAGACCTCTCCACCTATCTCCTTTCTTCAACTTAATTTTTATTCCAGGAACTTTCAGCCACATCCATTTTAATGCAGGAATTCCCACTGGTCCCACTACAAGCTGGTTTTTGCTTTCTTAGTGTCCTTCACAGATCTCAGTGGGAAAAATGAAGGAAGAGCATCTGTTTTCTGAGGATTATTTGGTTTGTGATGTAATGCACAGTACACTATAAGGAGCTGCTAATGATTTAAACACATTTTTTAAGTACCTTTCTTTAACAAAAAATTAACACTTATAGATTGAATTGTTGTTCTTATTACTGTCTAAGTTTCATGAAAAGATTTTTTCGATAAAAGTATTGTTGGGATGTGGAGATATTAATGCCCTTCCTCCTGCCATGAAACACTAAACTTCACATCTGTGGATCTAACATACTCAGGCTTCTCCTGTCTCCTCTCAAAGGTGTCATACGTCAAGGCGATTGACATCTGGATGGCGGTGTGTCTGCTCTTTGTGTTTTCTGCACTTTTGGAGTATGCAGCTGTAAACTTTGTGTCGAGGCAGCACAAAGAGCTTCTGCGATTCCGACGCAAGAGGAAGAAGAGCAAGGTAAAAGTGATGATGTTCACAGCTTTAAAAGGCTCTGGCTGAGTTATGTCAGGATACAAAGTGAGTTTGGTAAACATACTGCAGCTTGAAGTGGCAATAGAAATAAAATGGCAGCACAGTATAAAATTCACTATAGGCGGAGGGTCACTACAAGGACTATGAATTGCATAAATCCAACTTGAATCCTTGAAAGAGGGATTAAGAGGGATTTAAATGAGGCATGGGCCATGTGGGAGCCATCTGCACAAGCATGAATTTCACTGTTAGAAGAGTTATGTTATACTTCAATGAATTAATGGTACTGGTATTTGTGGCAGTTTTTACTACATTGAGATTCAACAAATGTTGTTTCCTAATTTCGTTCTCATACTCAATTCAAAGCCTTAACAGCTGTGTTTCATGCAATTTTTTTTAATACACGAAGTACTTATTCAAATAATTGGTAAAAGAACAAACATTTTACTTTAAAAGACTGGTGAGTTTGGGTTTTTTTTCTTCTGTCCTGTAATTTTGTTTTAGTTTTTCATATTATTAGTAAGAAACTTAATTATAGTAATAGCTATTAGTATTTATATTAGAGCTGGAGCTATACAGACTACTAGTAAAATAACTCACTACCAGTGTACAAAGCCAAACAACTAAAGCTACAAGTTTGAATTCTGAAATCTGTAGTTAAATCAAGCAATAAGGAAAATTTCTTACAACTTGTAACTCCTACTTCAGATTTGACTAAGTGCAAATTGTTCTTCAGCCTATTTATTTAAATGAGTACCCCCCCACCAATGTCATGCAGAGCCTGTCACTATCAGTCACTATTCAGAATATTACTAGTGGATGAAAGTCTCACCATGGCAACACAATTCTGTTCAACCATCTTTCATTCCCAAAGACTTAGTCTACTGCTTACATCACCAGAAAATATTTTAGAAGTTTCCCTCCTACTTAGAAGATACTGAAGACTGCACTGCTGTAAAGCCTACCTAAGCAGTCTCGGTTAGTAAGACTGTTAAAAGGCAGGCCAGACAGTCAGGTGAAAATGACATTTTCATACATTTGCCTGTTGCTATGTGTTGAGTCCCACACTTCTTCAGCTGTGCAGAAAAGTTCATGTACTGTAGACTAGAGGATGATTCAGACTGCAAGCACCTCTGTTCAATGTTTGACCCTGTGAAAAACGTGCTGCTTTCTTCCTGATGAAAGTAGCAGAAAGAACAGCAGTTTTGTGACAAGGTGTTTATTCTTGGAATATGGCAGCTCTCTGAAAGCTGTCCTAAGGTTTGGAATGGTAAGAATGGGGATGAATTGCTGGACAGCGGGTGGGTAAGTCACAACAAGTGAATGGTGTATCAAGGAGCTGTGGTAAGTGATATATTATGTCACTATATTTTTACTCCATTCATCTTTCTCACCATATATTTTCTTCTGGATCCAAGCAAATTTACCACATTCAACTTAAGTGATATCTTTCTTAGATGCAGGTCAATTACTATGACCACAGGATTAGAAGCTGGCAGGTAGTCTCTTCCTTCCTCAGAATCAAACCAAATCTCTTTTCCACTCCCTCTTAGCAAGACTTCACCAAAGACACTTTTTCAGCAGTCTCAATCAATTAAATTTCAGCTTAGAGGTGAGAAAGGAACCACAATATAGAAAGGACTTCTAAGAGAAGACCTTTTAAAGAAAAAAATTTGTGCATAAATAACCACACTGACTTAAGTGTTTTTCTGGATCATGGTATTTTTGAATTCACATTTAAAAGTCCTTATTCTAATTTTACACTTCGTCAGACAGTCTTTAGCTTCAGGTAGATTACCTGCTAAATTCTCATAAAATTACAGGATTAAAATTAGAGACTTTAGAGTACTTCGCTTTGATTCTGAAGGATAGAGACATGCGTTTCAGTGCTTTACTTCAGGTGAGGGTATTAAATATTCAGGGGTGTAGGGCTTTCCCTTCTCCCTGTATACCTATATGTTTCATCATGAGACAAGCTTCTCAGTCTAAATTTACCACAAAATGCTTTGTTCTTATGCAAGGTTATGATTTCAGAAAAATAGTAATTTTTCAAGAAATATTAATTTAATTAAATGTTTCTTCACTCACATTCCGTGTAGAGCTAGAGCTCCTGTACAGAGTTAACCTCTGAGACTGCACCTTCTCAAGCTCTAAAGACGGCTCAGCTAATTGTTTCTCTGTTTCTCAATGTTTTGTGAAACTTTTCCTTGCCCAACAAGTATATGGGACTTGAAACAGCATGGAGATTTTATCTCTCAAAAAGAAATTTGGATCACATCTTAAAACCTCTGGTATGCAAATAATAAATAATGTTTTACTGATTAAAAACTGCAGTTAATAATTTGCCTTCCTTACCACAAGTGTTATTGTATATTCACCACAATTTATAACATGAAATGCAGGCCCTAGGAGCATAACTCAAAGTAACTTGGTTTTAGTTCTTCTTTTGTCTTTTTCAAAGTCAGTTACTATAGCTCATGATTATAAAGTTTTGTATGTTTGTTATTCCTTTGGACTAGGTCAAACAGCCACTGACTCTCAGGGATTAGATTGCATTAACTTTGAGAACTACCATATACTAAGAAATGTTTATTTGACCATAAAGTCAAGAGGTGAAAAGAAGTTATGTAAAAAGGCTGCATTTAAAATAAACTTCAGGGGCTTCCTTGAACAATAAATCTTTTTCTTGACAAAGAGAAAAAAACAATATTCTATTCAGTATTTACGTCCTACATTATTAGCAAAATGAAGCAGATAGGATAACTTATTAGACTTGTTCATTCTGTATATTTACCATCTTGGAACATTTCAATATAATCAGGTTTTACTACCAGGTGAATTCTAATTATTGAATACAGAAAATTTTTTCCACTGGCATTTTATCTACAAGGGTACATCAAATCTTCTAGTGATTTGATGTGTTGTAAAAGTGCAAAAATAGATCAGTTTGGAAATGTTTCATTTCAGGTATGTGTAGGGCAGCTGAAGAATTTCCAAAGTCTATTTTCTTTGTAATTAGAAAGATAATGCTTGTTGCAAGAAATATTTACTTTTACCAAGCAAACAAAGCAATAGTCCTATGATTGAATTTCAGTGAATTTTGTGAGGTAAGTAGAGCCATTTTCCTGACTTAAGATCTCTCATACCTAATTCATCGCAGACAAAAAGTTCCACAAGCTCCTCTGAAATCTATTTCAATTGTTTAAAAAGTTTGGGTTTTTTTACTGATGTGTTTTTTGGCCTGTCGTGGCTTGTCTAGAAAGAACACAGAAACCAGACTACTTCATTCCTTCATGTCACCATTTGCACATTTCCATTCAGTCTTTTCTATAAATATTCCCAGTGGATACAGTTTTTGGTTTTGGTTTGCTTTCGGTTTTGGGGTTTTTGTTTCATTTTGTTTTTTTCTCATTTACCCTCCCTGGAAATTCTCCTGTTAAGTCCACATAATTCCTCAAAACTATGTTTGCAACATGAACATTAAACCTATACAGTAACAGTTGAAAGCAGTTAAAGGATCAAGTGATGCAAGTAATACAGTTGTTTATTCAAACCAGTTTTCCTTTTAAACCACATTGACTCGTATCACAATCATGATCTTCCATATCTTGTGCAAATTTCTTTTCAGAGGCCCAATCCGGTTTTTACAGAACTAGCAAAATTTTTGAAGTGTCTGGGATTGTGTTATAAATTCATTTATAAATGAAAGATGTTGTTGCAACACAATGTGCAACCTCCTCAATACTGTTTTCCAATAAGAATCACAGTAGATATAGATTTTTTTAAAGGGTCTAAAGTCTTTATGATACACAAATGGCATAATGAATCCTGAGAACAGGGGAATTATAGTTCCCAGTTTGAGACTTTATTTGATATTTAGTGTATGAGCCACAGTTCTTTGACAAAATAGAAAATCTGGACAGTCAAAATAGAAAATCTGGACAGTGAAAAGAACTATTCAAAACTATGTTACCATTTCTTCAGAATGAATGTTAATTATTAATTTCCTTCCTAAAAGACAAAAAAAAAAGAAAAAAGGCAGAACTAGAAGTCACCCAAGGATACTGAAACACACCTATGATCATTGTTGTTTCTTAGTTGCATTTACTTTCTATGGGAAAAAATATTAACTGTGTACATATACTGAATAATAAAAAATTTATTTTAGATTAGCTGTTAACATATTTAGGTTTTGGGAATATTCAGTCTATAAGTTCTATTTTCAAAATCTAAAGATCACCATATCTTTAGAGAGGAAAATAGACATGCAAACTAGGTTGTCTTTAATGGTAATCACACCTTTTTTCTTTTGTTTTCTTTTTGGTCAACCATCCGTTTTGATGAAAGTATTTTGAGGGAGTTCTTGATGGAAATGAAATCAGTGAATCATTACAGCATAGCAATGGCTTGAGATGTGCAGGACGTATAGACGGGACTTTGCCTCAAATCTACAGTACAAATTTAAGGGTAAACTATGAAGAAGATGTCCCATTTGTCATAATGTGATATCCAACCATTAACAGAGGCCCTGTCCTTTTGTCTACAATAACATTTTCCCATGTGAACTTCATATACCTTCATTGCTACCTGTATGTGATGACGTGAAATGTTAGTAAAGGTACTGTCTTGATAATTTCATAATCCATTTTGATCTGTTTAAATCTGGATTAAAACATAATACTAAAATTTGGCACTTTTTGTAGTGCAAAACAACTCAATACCACTTTTCTTCTCAAAACTGAGCAATAAAAAAGACAGTGATCAAATTACCAAAGTCAAGGCTTAAAAAACTTTACAAATTGTTAAAACACCTTACAATCAAATGGTTATGGAATTATTTTCAGCCCTTATATACATGTTATTTTTCAGGATAAATGTATTACTAAGCACACGGATAGAAAACACCATAGTCACAAGACCACAAAACTCATTGTTTTCTATTCATTTACAGCTAAGTATTTTGTAAAACAATACTGGTACAGAAGTAAATGAATTGAAATTCTTTCCTTCAGATCATTAAAGAATTCTAACTTTCCAAATAAAACTTCTTACCTAATTTTTTCCATTCCTAAATTGCAATAATTTTAATAGAAATTACAAAATATTTAAATGTAACTGCATGCAGAAAAACTTTCAAGTTGTTAGTTCTAAAGCTGAGTGGGTGAAAAATGCATTCAAATCAAACTCTTACCAAAGTTCATTCATAATAAGATTTTTAAAGTTTTATCAAAAGTCTATAATAATAGTTTCCTTCAGTGATGATACACAAAAAAGGACACAAAAGAAACAAAAGCTTCCTTATCACTTAAGAAAAATAATTCTATTAATTCAGCCAATACACAGTATTTTTTCAGGAAGATTGACTGTAAAGACTCTCAACTAGGACATACAGAGTATTGTCCATCAGATGATTTCTACATCTGTAGACTCAGACACATGCATTCTGAGACATATTTCTAGTCAAAAAGAGGAATTTTAGCCATGTCAATCAACAGAAAAAAAAAGAAAAGTGTTACTGACACAAATGTCTTTACTAAAGCACTCAAAGCTAGTATTGATAATAAGAGTAACTGCATTTTTCCTTCTGTGCACAAGCACCTTCAGATATGAATCTGAGGCCAGCCTAGTGATTTCTCCGCATTATGAATCTGCTGGAAAACTTGCAGAGCCACATTTTGAATATTCAAGCTGCTGCCCCTGAAAAGAACTCTGGCAGCTCTTGGTGTGCTGCAGGTGTCCTTTCCTGCAGCTCCACCAGCCCTAGCACCTTGGGTGTGACTTGGCTGGCTCCAACCATCCTGCCTGCCCTCGCAGAGACCATCCAACAGACACTGTGCAGAAATGCTGGGCTCCTACGAGGAGCTTCACATCAGTTCAACAATAGAGATCTCCAAGCAGTCTGCTTGCAGATGAAATGCAGGTCTGCAAGCACAAAAATAAGAAGAGACATGGCCTTTGAAACCTTCTAGGGGATCATTCCATTTAGGTAAACCTAAAACAGAGACAATAAAGTCTTAGTATATAGTGCCTGATCCTGAAAACATGCACAGCTGAAATCTGCTACTCAAAAGAATAATTTTATTATCTTTCTCAGCCTGTGCAGTCATAAGCATTATTTTCTGGAGAAGCATAAAAAGACAAAATCCTGAAATGTATATATGAAGATGTTTAAATGGCAAGTTTATAGTAAATTCTCACAGTACATGCATTTCTAACTTAATATTTCTCTTAACTGGAACACAAGACTACCACTATTCTAGAATACAACTACATTAAAGGTGTTATTTCCCATTGTTATCTGACAGAAGAGGAACACTATTGCAGTAATTAAATCTCTGTTTTATCACGTCATCAAATAATGATCCTATCATTTTGTATTTCTGTTTCTCATTTCCATAGTAAAGTCAGTCAGTGAATTTTTCTCCTCCTTTTCTTTCATGTTAATTTTTCTTTATTTTTTAAAGGCTAATTCTAATACGTATTTTAGATATAGTAGTTTCGGTGAACTCTATCAGTCTCTACATTTACTGAATTTACATACACGAAGAAGTATTTCTGTTGGGTGATACCTACAGCTCTGCCAGAAGGTCATGCATAAGCATGACCAAATATTCACTTCAAACTTAGTAATTTATCTGCATTCTTTTGTAGGTAATATATTCAACTAATATTGATAATAAAACTTGGATTTTTTTTAAACAAAGTAGCAAGTATTTGATTGAAGCTTTAAATATGTTTAAAATTAATTCTTCATTGAAAAGTGTTTTAAGATTTTCAAAGTGTCATAGACATTTTCAAAATAAAAAATTTGAAACTTTGCATTTAACTTGTGCTTATTGAGAAATTGCATTTGTATAAAGTAAGAGGATAAAGTAAAACAAAAAATGCTTCTAACTATTAATTGAAAAGTAATTACTTGATTTGCTTTGGCAAATAAATATATTTCAGACTTTTAATTTAATCTAGGAAGAACTTTAAAGTATCAAAAATTCTCCTACAAAAGAAAAGTTGACAGAAACTCAATTCTTTGTAATACTTACGAAAATAATTTTTCAAAATGCTTATTTAAGAATTAATGTAATAATTTCTATATTTCATGAACATGTGAAATCCTAAAGTAACTAGGCTAAATTAGACACAAAATATTGACATTCCTGAATTTAACATTAGTATTGAAAAAATGGTGAATGCCATCAAAATCGCAGTCATTCCTCAGTAGTCTATGTAAAGAAGGAGTACACTGGAACGTATTTCAGAACCAAATTTAGCCTTGACTTCACAGATTATGTATCATTTATTTGTCTGCATGTGTCCCTTTCCTATTACTTGAGGATACCTAGATAAAGTGAAGTAAAAAAGATGCCTCCAGACACAAGATACATTTTTAAATTGTATGCCATGAAAATATGTGTACCTTCAGAACATCTACTGTTTCTGTGCCATTTGATTAAGAATCATTTTATTTTATAGTTCCCTAATCCTGAATGTCTTTGCCAGTTTTCCCCTGAATTGACAGAAGAATGAGTCAGAAGAAAAATTTGGCCTTTAGCTTTCTTTTATTTTAAACTAAGACATTGCACACTATTCTCTTTATCTGATGCATTCACAGGGGACAGCAGAAATTAGGCATACAGATAAGATTCATTAAATATACAGTTGCCAAATAGGCAGAATTCTCACTAATATAATGAATGTGCATATCATTAGTGATTTTATGATGAGTATCTCTAGAGGCCAGGATCCTGGGTTGTAAGGCAGTGTACAGACTTAATCGTTGTTTTCTAAAAGACCAGTGTGAAACTTGTTCATTTGAAGACTGCACATATTTACTGTAAATGGGGAAACTTAAACCAAATCAGAAGTTGTGTGTGCAATTACCACTAGTTTACTAGGCTTTCTCATTTCTCTAAAAGATTACAGAATCTATAAACAAACAGAAAATTTCTGTGCTTATTAACAATCCAGTAATATTTTTGGCAGATTCTGATAGGGATGAAATTTCAACAACCTAAGATAAGGTGTGGATTCAAGAAGTCAAAGAGGTAATGGTGCAACCGCTATTTAGCAGCAGGTAAGATTTCTGTAAACAATAATAGAAATAAAAACCTTCTTCTCTTTTTCTTTCTTTTTTTTTTTTCCAACAGGATGATGATACACGTGACAGTCAGTTCAGCATTACAGCATATGGAGTGGGCCCATGTGTGCAAGCAAAAGATGGAATAACACAAAAGGGGCCAAATAATCCTGTTCAAGCTGCACCAAAAAGCCCTGATGAGATGAGAAAGGTGTTCATTGACCGGGCCAAGAAGATAGACACAATATCCAGAGCTTGTTTCCCATTAGCCTTTCTGATTTTCAACATTTTTTATTGGGTAATCTACAAAATCATCAGGCATGAGGACATTCACCAATAACAAGATTCAGGCTTGCAGTACATAAAGGTCTGGCTGTCACACTCAACAGGAGGCCTTTTGTTAGAAGTGCACATCAGAGGAGTGATTGGAAGAGTTAAAAACAACGAGGGGGAGAAAAAGAATCCTGCATGGCCTGCAATGATCAGCTACAGTGGGATGGAAGAATGAAGAAAAGATACATCTACTATTCCAAACTTTCCTTGTCAAACTAATTATTAACAACTTTTTCATTGAACATCACTCTCTACTGAAGCTTTATTGCCAAGTATTTATACACACTGTTACATAGTGGTATAATTGTACAATACTCTTTGATGACCCTTAAATTTTTTAAATTATGGTGTATTTTTAATTTGAAAAATGTTTCCAGAATACCCTAGGTGAATCCCACAGTATTACAGAATAGATTAGTGTTTGTAAGTTTAATTTTAATTTTACTATATAATGATAAATTACTGATTGGAGAAAACAGTTTATAGGACTTGATCTAGTCTTAAGGACAGTACTGGTGGTTTTACAATGAATAGATTTAACATATTTAAGTCATATAATTTATTCAATGTACTTCATATTACTGTTGAAATAATCTCAGACAGCACAGGGTAATACAACCTAACAGTCTACATTTCATATGAGAAATATACTAAAATTTGTAAAGTATTAGTTCCTGCAAAGGATTTTTTTCTTTTAATTGCTTATACTTTGATAATTGAAGCATATCTTTAATCTTTTTTATATTTTTAAAGGGTTTTTTTTCTTAATTCATAAAACTCATACAGCTTGCAGAATAGAAAAATTGCATTACAATTTTTCAATGCTTCATTTTGATTCAATGCAAAGAGATCTTGGACCAAAACTGAAAGCAAAGCGTCAACTGTTTCACTGAAGCATTTGGAGGATGAATACAGTTCTGTTTATGCACATTCATCTCCTATATATTACATAATTACAGGAAGTTTAACTTACAAATGCGTCAAATTTTCTGACTCATTCTTTGAAGTTTGTTAATTTGACTTAGATACTAGTTAAGAAGCACTTCACAACTTTGGAAAAGCAAGCAGCTCTTCTCAAACATAAAAAAAAGACCTGGATGGTCTTTTACATTTACTGGATTTCACATTAATAAATTAAGAGAACACGTATTAAAACTGTAAGAAAGATCCTTCCTGTTTAGGTTTAAATAAGCCATATTAGCTACTTCTTTGAATTCTAACACCATAGGTCACATTTATGGCACAGTGTCTAGGCAAGGGTATTTACTTTTGTCAATCTATTGGCAAAACAATACCATGCTATGGTGTGGAAATATAGCATTTAGAATTATTAGATACTCTAAGTCCAGTAAGTGAGGCTGATTTTCACTGCAAAATATTTTAATTTTGAACATGTTTAAAATTTGTGCTTTGCTGATAATCAGAATGTGTATACAAAAGCAGAATCAGCTGCAGGCAAACATCTGGTGCCCTGCCAAAGGCATGGTGCATATGAAGGAACAGAAGCAATGTAACTGCACTGGGACTGTAACATAGCAACCTTGGGTTTGGTTTGGTTTGTTAGTATTTTCCTCCCATGATAAGTTAGAGAGATTTTATAATAGTAGCTCTCACCTTTTGTTAAATTGTGTCAGGAAGAATATGTATAATCCACCTTTATTTTAAAACTATTATTCTTTTATAGTTTTGATTCATTTATAATCTAAAATTAATTCAGTTTACTTTTTTGCTTTCTTTTTGTGATACTGTGTCTGCTTTTTTATTGATTTCTTTATGCACATGTTCAAAGAAATCTCATTCACTTATGAGGGTGTGAGAGGGTATAATGAATTTATGGCTGCTATTCACCTCTCTCAAAGTTAGGGTTATTATATTGTATGGAAAGGGATGTTAACATGTTTCTGTTATCAGCAAAATCAACTGTATTTTGTTTAAGGGCTGTTATCAGATGAGCATAAGATTTGGCATGTGATTCTATTTTGATACAATGGAACCAAGATCTCTCTGGAGCTGATGGTTTTGTGGACTTTTTTAATGGAACCATAATATTTACCAAGGCAACAGAAGCCTCTTAGTCCACTAATAATGTGTTTTTCAAAAGAAATAATAACTTTAAATTTAAGTTTCATTTATATTATTCCTAAATTACTTAGTATAAAGTCACATGGTAGAGAAAGAAAGAAATGTCATTTAAGATAATAAACTTCAAGGCACAAATGCCTGCTATTCACCACTAACAAGGGGAAGAGTCCAAAACTGCCAACAGGCATGGCAGCCCTCTGTGCAAAGCTGGAATCAACAGCTTTGATTACATCAGCTAAGATTACTGTAAGAGATTTTTTTTTTGCAGCTGTATGATGAAGCAGCAGGAAATGGTGTTAAGATGCAAGAATTGAAAGGTACTCTGCAGTATTTACCAGACTGCACTATTTATGTTGCACTCCCATCAAAGAGGCAGTGGAAATGCAGAAAAATAATCATCAAGGAGATAATGCTTGAGGCAAATGGTATCTGGCAGGGTTCCTCCCACATATAAAAAAGACCCCATTCTTTAGGCAGAAGTAATAGCTACCTCACTTCACTGTCACTGGACACCTGGGCTCTGCAGAGGACAAGTCCTTGGCAAAGCCACACTAGAAGGCTTCTCATAAGCACAATCTCTGCGTGACAGGATAATGCAGCTTTGTCCCAAGTCATCATTCAACATAGATGCAGACCCCATACTTCTTGGGTCATGTTTTTGTGATTTCTGTGAACCAGCCCTATACTTCAAAAATTAAGTACTGGCACTAGGACATTGTAACACAATGAAAACAGAGGGAGATACTGTAGGATCTGGAGGAATACCCCAGTAAAAGAGCTACTGAGGAACTGACACAGTCACCATAAAGGGGACAAAAAAGGATTAAGCACCCTGAGTATTTTTCCCCATCCTGCCATGTCTCTATAGGTACACTTGCTCAGGGGGAAGCAGTAACTACAGGAGGAAACAATTTATATCATCTGCTGCAAAGTTTATATTGTTTTGTGACAGTAGTTCCTACCTGTGCAGATTGACTTCCACACCATCCTTTTTCTTGATGGAAAGAGAAGCAGAACAGGAAGGTACAGGATGAAAATCAAGTCTGTGCATAGCAGAACAGGGGCCACAGGGTGAAAGAAAGCCCAAAGCAGAGCCTGGAACCTCTCACATTACTGTCTTTTCATTCTGCACTAAAGAGAGATGTGACCAAATCTGCGTCACCCCTCAAAAAGCAAAAAACTTCAGTACATTGAGACAGGAGAAGTAAAACCCCTTAGAGGTGCAGTAGAAATACTCAACTAGCATTCTACCAAAGTCCTACTTAAATTCCAAACAGCAAAATGCATTTTATTTTTAGAACAAAATTCAAATATCAACACAATAGGCTTACATGGCTAGATGAATGCCTTTTTTCTCTATGATGCTGATAAACTATGTGAAGATTAGAAGGAATACTAGTATTTTGCTACTTAGAATTCAGCTACTTTAACACTAAAATAAAGTACATTTTACTTTCAAGGACTTCTGACAGCAAGCACTATTATTTAAACAGGTTAGTATAATTCAGGAAGAACAGAGCATTTGCAGAAGATTTAATTATTTTTTTTCAGCTCAATCATACATAAGTTTTCTTTGGATTCTTTTTCTGATAGTTCATTCCAAAATCTGCTTTATAAAGAATCATTTGTGATGCGTGAGAGATTATTCTGTTTACACACTCGACAGAAATATTTAGGTGATTAAATGTGCACTTTACATTTAAGGAGTGAGGTATTGCTTCCAGTTTGTGTATAGTCCCTTACAGAACTGTAGACTGAAAATGTAGATAAAGATAGAATATAATAAACTGTACAAAACCTTATATTTTTTAACAGTATGGAAAGATAAAATGTCTTCCTTTACCTTAGAAAAAAGAAAAAGTATTATTTTCAGCAATAATTATATAGTAGAAGGAAATGAACTTATTTCTACCATTCCCAGCCCAAACTGACATGATTGGCTGCAGTAGATACACTTTTTGTGCAATTTCTGCTCTTGTTTGAGCTATCATAGAAATTAATCTAATACAACAGAATAGAATTTGGCCTTAAAATGTTAAAGTGCTAAATGGGCTAGTAATACATACAGTACCCCTGTGAGGTAGTAAAATAACTTTATCCACACCTAACTGCACAATCGTATGGTTATTTATGGTTATAGATGAGTACAATATCAGATTTCACAGCTTTTTTCCTTTATGAGACAACTACGAGGAAAAATATAAATCTCAAACCAGACTACTTGTTAGTAATAAAACGGGTGCTCTGTTTTGGAGTGGTTACAGAAAAGGTGTCTTCAGGCAACAATAACCTACGGTAATTACTGAAGAATATCAGTTTGGAAGGCTTGTGGAAGCAGGTTAGATTGCTAGAAGCAGTGGATTAATGCCAGAAGAAGTGTTGGCTCATCCTGTCTTCTTGATATTCTCGAATATTACTGCACTTCTTCACTTTCATCTTTGTGAAATATGCAAGAAACATTTCTTATGTTTGTATTTTAATGTACATCAGAGTGATATTAACAGATGAAATGGACTAAAGTAGCTACTGATGTTCCATGAATGTGGAATTGTGAGCTGTATAAAAAGAAATTGTGCCATAAGCTTTTGACATAAAGGTTTAACATAATATATGGTATTTTGTGTATTAGTGATCCTGGCTTTTTAAAGGCTACAGCGAGAAAAAAAAATAAAATTTATATGATAGTGTATTAATAAATTGTCTGTGAATTTTCAAAATATTTTCCTGTGAGTTCTCTCTGACAGCAATTTCATCTCAAAGTACTTCCTTTTTTGGTAGAAATCTATAAATGTATTGTGCATGGATTTGATTAGATTCCTTTTTATTGTATTACAGTATCATATTGCACTTAACTGACATTCTCTGCAGTCAGAAGTGTTAAAAATGTGAAATTTATGGTGTCACCCGTGTCATTGTAGATATTTTGTTCAAAAAAAAATAAACCTATCTTTTTTCAGAAACTGTGAAATATTTTTTATGATATTTTAGGTAATGAATTTCAATTCAAAAGAGGGACAGACAACACCATTGGAAAAAAAAGAAAAAAACCTCAGCA